TCTGAGGCAAAATGAGCAAGAACGCTCATTTGTACATCATTCTAGACAGAACTAAATGACTTTTGTAGAAAGTGAACCATCGATCAGGAAATCTTGGCAGTTTCCTCAAAAAAGTCTCAGATTTGCGTGCTGGTTTTTTGACTTGCAAAGTCGCCCAAACATGGCGCTGCTTTTTTCGAACTTTCTCCCCCCTGGATCCGCCCTTGCCCCTGTTGAACATTAGAACCGCATTATACAGTAAATTCTATACGCATTTCACCGCGATAATCGAAGAGTAGTAGGGGCGCACTGCACTTAACATACCGGCTCATTTCCGATGTGACAAAACGGGTTATCTTCAGCACATTGTATAGAAAAAGAAAAATACAAGCAAAATTACATGGTGTCGACTTTGCTGCTCGACTGATGGATGAGCGCTGCTACTAACTAGCCACGAGTGATTTTTTTGGCAATTTCAGCCCAAACCGCCATCAAAATCGTCCAAACCGCACCAAATCTACGACGCCTATGCCCAAAGCTGGGTTTTCGACGCCGAAAATCCGGGAACCTCGAATGGCTTATCGCCGTCCAGCGGTTCGCCCTATTTGAAAATCCTGCAAAACGGCACCCCGAAAAACCCACAGGCACGACCCAATGGTCTGCAACACGCACCCACCGTCAAAGAGGGTAATTTTTCCCATCTAACCAGCACACTTTGACTGAACTGGTGGTTTTTCAGTTACCCTGCTCATAGATAATCCGGTCGTCCATGTGGAAGAAGCCTCGGATGACAACACGAGCAACAGCGACCGGAAGCTCTGCCACATGAAGAGCTTCTCCCGATCGGCTTCGCCAGTGGTTTTATCGGCCAGTTCCAGTCAACTTAGTCTAAACAATTACAACCCCGCACCAGCGAATCCTCCTATTTACCAGTACTTGGAAAAGCTGACCGAGCCCGAGATCTACCGATCGCGGTAAATAAAAAACATGGAAAATTGGGAAAAAACTCACCGATTGTCTGCCTAGGCTCAACACCGCAGTGAGCAACAAAAGCGAGGAAGAAGAGTCGCTCCAAGCACCGCAAACAGCTCCGATGAGGCGAGTGGAGGCGGTGAGCCCTCAAGTGGTGGAACCAGTTCGATATGCTTCGCTGATGAAGGAGCTGCAAAAGGCCATCGTGAGCAAAAAAGAGCCGCCCAGCGTCACTTCGCCTGTGAGCAACAGCGAGAGTCAAAGCCAGTCGAAGAGCAGCGACACGGAGTTCTCCAAGGAGCTGGAAGCAGCTTTGCAGCTAATTCAAGTGAGTTGAGTTAAGCTCGAGCTTAAGAATATATTCAGGTTTTTACCAGCTTCTTTTTGGGTATTTTGCCTCAAAAATTTTTGTCTTTAAAAAAGACAGAATTTCCTCACGTCTTTTATTACAGATTGATAAATAGTACTCCTA